AGGTACTCGTCTAATGCTGATACCACTCGCCACTGATGTTATCCGTGGTCGGGAATCGAACTTGGGTTGTTGGGTTGGTTGTCGCAGTGCCCTCTTCACTGCGCCAGCCCTCTGCCATTATTTATGTGCCCCCAGTTACAATGTTTACCCACCGCACCAGGCAGCCATTTGAGGCTGAGTAGGCCTTAAGGGAGGCCCCGGACCGATTCAGATATACACCACGTGTTATCCGTGGCCAGGAATCGAACTCTGGTGGCAGTGCTCTAATCACTACGCCACCGCTCCCCACAATTGATGCGTAACATATACAGACGTAATTACATATGCACCCAGGGTATTAAAACACCTGAAAGGAATTCCAGTCTGAACGTCAGCACCACACTAACCAGCTCATAATCTGTGCCACCGCATATTGCTATACGATCGATATAATCCGTGTGGTACATCTGTGCCAAACTGCCACGAGGGAAGACACGGTAAGCACACGGATCATTAGAAATGTGAAATTTGAGCCGGGACGATTAGTTTGAAGAGGTCGATGAATCCACGAAAATGTTTAATCGATTTCTCTTTATTGGGATCGATTGCTCGATTCGCTTTAAAAGTAGCGGTTGCCTCCGCATCTTGCCTTCAGAAGGCGGGAAACCCCCCCGAGAACGAGCCACGCCCAGTGTGACGCGTCCGATAGGGCGAATGACATCATCAAGCCCCGCCCATCACCTTCCGTCCAGCAGAAGACGTGGGAGGCAGAGAGTTTAAAATTGTAATTATTTGCGTGTTATCCAATTGCTCAAAATTAATAGAACCAATAATCGGTATAGTTATCAATTACTTCAGCTCTATACTAACGCGCACAAATATCCACACCCATACCTATGTTTTTAGAGTAAGAATCTGAAGATTATTTTTAGATTTGAGGAATCCGATGAGCTGTAAAGCTCCTTTTCACAGACGTCCAATAACATTGCCAGCCTTATATGAGACCTTCACGCAGTCATTAACAAAGGTACGCCCACGTGCAACTACATACGCAGTTTAAACTGTTTATAAGGCCTCGTCTCTGCAGTATATGAGACTCACTGGTACGTACACGAGACAGCTATATTCTGCAATTTGCCTCCGCATATAGTTTATCGCAACACTTAACTCATCACAACACTTAACTCCAGCAATGTAATTAACTCGATTTGTTTACCCTTATTTAAATTGTAGATTATTTTTGCATATTTATCATATACATTTGTTATTGCGATTGCATGTTGTTTTAGCTTTTCGTTATTGCCCCAGTTCTCTAGTGCAAAATAATAATAATAATACACAAAAAAAATGTTGCTGTCGTCTTAAATGGTCTCTCACCAGGAGTTCCAATAAAGCAACTTGAGTGGCAGACTGAACGACAGTCGTAGATTCGGTGCACAACGCGCTGTAGATGCATCGTGTATGCTGAGTAAATCAAAGACAATCATATCGGCCTATTAAACAAACAAAAAAAACCCGCTCTTGCCATGACTTCAGCAATAAAACATTTCATTTCAAAGCTATTGAACCTTGACCAGGTTCAAGAAGAGGATCGCGCTAGGGGGCTGCTGGATCAAGGAATTAATGAGCTCAGGTGAAGTTACAGGTTCGGGTCGAAGTTTACCACAACCGTGACGCAGAGGGGGCGACCGTAGCCGATGAGACCATGCGATTTACAACATTTTGTTTTATTTCATCACAGTACAGAAGTGTCCATTTGCGGTCAAGAGACACGCTGACGATAGTTGCATCTTGCCTGGAGTGCGTTACGCGTGTGTCGATAATGCATAGACAGCAGAACGTGACAGCCTATATAAAGTCCTCTCGACTTGACAGCCTTATGGAAGGAATATGCATTTGCAAAAACGCTTGTCTGGATGCGTGTATTTTTTTTCAGATCTTAAATATCTGGTGGCAAAAAAAAATGAGTTTTTTTTTTTCATATACACATATACAATTGTCATGCATCGAAAAAATGGCTTTGTCTGTGTGTTATTGTGTTTATGCTTATGTATATATATAATTTTGTAATTCACCATAACTTTCATTGAGCTCTGTTACGCAAAAGCAGCAATTGGCCTGTGTGCGCGCGCATGCGCATATAAAACACTCATGTATAAATGTAATTCTTATTGTAATTACCGTTATATTAAACTGCATTTTTGACATTCATTCGCGTATACCAACACGTACCTAAATCGATAAGCACATCGTTTGACATGTATTATAACATCCCGCGCGCACACACACACGAATATATATAAAACACATTTTGGTTTTTGTAAGCGAATATTCCGTATTAGATTATGATATATTCTATATCAAATGCATGCAGACAATGGACACGGGTACCTATACTGTAGTGTAAACAGAAGTGAGGGTACTTCTATATGCGCATAATATCACTAAGCCTGGGCAAACATTTAGCTTCCTTAGAAAATATTTAAGTTGGGTGTGGGACAAGAGGGCCTACGTGGGTTAAAAGGCCTTCGTTGTCCCGGTGCTCCCGCCACGTGTCGAGCTGCTACCAACAACGGCTGCAGATGCCTCTAGGGGGCGGCAATCTGCACCGCAGCGTCACAATGGCCGATGACGTCATTGCTGTTTGCATGAGGACAGAAGCAATGCCTTTTTGCCCTACGTAGGCCTCTTTACGAACCCAGGCTAACCCCAGTCCTAAAACAAACAAAAACAACGATACGCTTCCACTCGCTGACACAACGCACAGCCTACATCGTTGGGCCGAAAAAGAGCTGTTTTTTTCGTGTATGAGCGAAGGTAAAAGGTACATGTTTAATTTCAAAGATATTTACAACACCCCCCCCCCCCCCCCACCTCTTCATTGCTGAAGCTGCATTCGCACAACTTAGAAGACTTGTTGCTGTGAGCTCTGCGCAGAAAAATTGATCAGAAAATAAAGATCCAACCGAGGGACACCGAAGGCGACGGACGTGTCCCAAGCATGTTGTTAACATGTCGTAACATCCGAGTCACGAAGAGTGTCTCGCAGCCTACAGTATGCGTGCACTAAATCCAGGCCCAACAGTCAGTCATTGCATCAGCCTCGCAGGCAAATTTGTTGCCAATGGCAGAAGCAAATTTGTTGGCACCCCTCACCATGCCGGACCCCCCCCCCCCTTTCCACCCCCGCTTTCTCGCTGGCTTCACAGACAGCTCCCGCTCGCCTCTCACGGAAGGACCCACCAAACTCCACCTCTCGTGCAAATAATCATCAAGACTGTGGACACTCGTAGGGCGACACCCTTCACTGACACTCGTTCAAACGCACGAGCGCACGTGATTCGTCTGCTTGTCCTTTTTCTTTTGGCGTGTGCGTTTAACTCGGGAAAATGAAGCCCCCCCCGAATCTGTACAATACGCGAATCCTCGTCGACAAGGGATGCTTTCGGCAGTTACAATTGAATCAACAGATGTTTGCGCGCGCGCGTGTGTGTTGGTGGAGGTGGCGGATATGCTCGTGGAGTAGCTAGCGAGTTGTGTAGGGTGGTTCAACTGCACACGTAGGCACACGGCCTCGGAAGGAACTCCACTCTTTGCTGGCGCCGAGGCTGTGAGGAGGTGGGAGAATTGGACAAGGGTCCGGGTAGGGTGGGGCAGGAAAGTAGAGTGGGGGGGGGTCCATGCAAACCACGCTAGGCCGCCATTGGTGTATACTAGTACGGTATACACACCGGCATATTCATCTCAATAAACACACAATACGAACCCAGTGCGGGGCCATATTGTACCCAGAGCCGTCCCTAGGGTACGGGCAAATCGTGGCGACCGCCCTGAGCCCCGAGCTTTGGGGGGGGGGGGGAAGGGCGGCGCGCTTGGACGTCACAGTGTTAGATGTTACACTTCCGGTTTACTTTTAAGGCGTTGGAGGGGGCGGGGGCGGGGCACACGGTGTGGGATTTGTCGCGGGCCCCGCACCCTCCCCGCTATAGACGGCCCTGATTGCGCCAATATATACATTAACATTTGTGTGTATGTGCGTTACTCGTCACGTTTGTATATGTTTGTGTACGTTAGTGTGTTCGCACGATACAAAGGGCTACATTAAACCCCCCACCAAATACAATCGCAACTGTTAAACGCTTCATTTGTGCTTTTACGCCACTGTCGTCGCTGTACCGTTCATGCATTTGTTGTTCAAACGTTCACAATATAATATTTACCTTTATAACCGCGTGAATAAGTGTGTGCCGGCACCTGTCGTGTCTTTGTGTGTACACGTATGCGTGTGTGTGTGTGCATGAATGTGTGTGTACACGTGTTCACATGTCTGTGTTCATGCATGTGGGTGTGGCATCAACATCTCAGTCAGGTCAAACCTATAACACCTGGATGAGTCTCGTGGCATCCTGTCGGCGAGCATGCCAGACATCACGTGGCCGGCCTCACAAGCGATGCTAGTGACGTCAGCAAACAATGTCTGTTGTTCTTCTAATCTATATAATATGCGTGTGTTTACATCCGTATAGAGGTATGGCTACACATACAGCCTACACAGACTGCTGTGGTGTTGTCGCTAGCGAGCACCTTTGCAGGCCGGCACGAGGTTATGTGGTTACGATCGCACCTGGCCGACCGCCAAGTTGGTGATATTTACACTCCCCGCCAGGGTATTCGTTTGAGACTGAGACGCCCTAGGGGATGCCAAGGATCGGTTCAGGTATTTGGCAGCGAGCGGGAATCGAACCGTGGTTGTCCAAGGTTAAGAGCGCAGTGCACAAGCAAAGATTAAAAAAATCCCCAGTATAGCCTTTAGCAGACCGTTGGGGCAAGTACAGTTTAACAAGCACCTATGAAGGCCGGCACGGCACGCGAGGGAGTGGGTGGCCAGCACCACGCCCGGCCGCCTTTGTCTCCCCAGTGCTGATGTTTGCACACACACACATTTTTACACACACACAGGTAAAACGTGTATATATGTCACCAGCCATTCAGGCACACATCATTTAAGGGAGATTACGTCATGCACATAGAATTATATTATTAAAACAAGATCAACGAGAGATAACGACATTTACAGAGGGTCCGACCGTTACATTAAACGTCACGCAACGGCACAAGTCTATAATTATAAATATACAGCGGGGTCTCTTCTGCCTCGTGTTTGCATTGACACTTCGTGTTGTTGAGGTTGCTTTTTTTCACCCCCAAGAACCAACGCAACGTCACAGAGTCTTCGTGTGCACGTGATCATGAACCACACGCGGAGTTTTCCGACAATCACCGTCGCCACCACCATCATCACACAGTCACTCCTCGAAATACTGCAATAAAACAATGACATCAGCAATATGCGTTCCTTTGAAGAGGGGAAATGAAGATAATAATATTAAAAATCAAATTGTCCGTGAGCTTGTGTTTGGATTTTATCATGGTAGACTGAAATAATATATTTACCGTGTGATTTTATTTTGTTCAGACAAAAAATCGGAACTCTACCAGACTTGTCTTCACGCCATTACGCAGCTGTCTCCGACACAATTCATACACATCACCAATCGTAACAACATCTTAATAATAATTATCATCATCATCAGTGTTATCACCACACACATTAACACTGGCGACTAGGAAAAGCTGAATCCGGAAGACAGCTCACGGATGCGACTCTCTCGGCTCAACTTCTTGAGCTTCATCCGCCGGTTCTGGAACCAGATCTTGACCTGGCGGTCGGTGAGGTTGACCCCGCGGCTGATCTCGAGACGCCGCTCGCGCGTCAGGTACATGTTGAAGAGGAACTCCTTCTCGAGCTCCAGCGTCTGGTACTTGGTGTAGGGGCAGCGCTTCTTGCGTCCACTCTTGGCCGTCATCCAGTTACCGTTGTTGTTGCTGGTGGTGGTGCTGCTGCTGCTGCTGTTGTTGTTGATGCTGATGATGGGAGCTCTGGGTGTTTCCTCTGAGCGGAGGAGGACACAGTGCGAGCGAGGAGACAGGAAGAAGATCCGTTGTGAGATTAACAAGTCGTCGTGATCACGACCAAGGTGCTGATAATATTTACACACACAAAGATCCCCCGTATAGCCTTCACAGACGTTTGGGACGAGTGCTGTGAGCGAGCGCCAACAAAGATTCCCCGTACAGAGGCCTAGGCGGCAAACGAGGTTGGGTGGCCAGCGCTACGCCCAGCCGCCTTTGTCTCCCTAGTAGCAATGTTTACACGCTGCACCAGGTACTGTCCACGTGCACACATACATACACCTATTTCGTAATGCATCATAATGCTGTAAGGCTGTAGTATAATTATGGTGATAATAATTGACAGTTGCTGGTCAACCCCCACACCGACACAAGTGTCTTTATAATGGGGGGCCGTTTGACCATACTTCACCACGCTCGTCAGTGCGGGTTGGCGAAGGGGACCTAGAACCCGTCCTGATATCAACTGGCCGTGGCCTGGAATCGAACGAAAGGCAACGCGTGAATGGCAGAGTATGCTGAGCAATGCGCCACTGCTCCGCAATGCACACACGGTACTACACAGGTCCAACAAAGGCATAACATGGAGATACATAGAACTGCAACAATGGAACATAATACCGTACAATTATGATTATAATAATGCACTATTCCAGTAAGCGTGACCGAGTCTCAAATTGCATTAATATGCGTACGTAGGCCCGCACACAAACATACCTACATAGGCCTACACACAAACATAGTATATAGACCTGCAACACACACATACACACAAACATACCTACATGGGCCTACACACATAGTATATAGACCTGCAACACACACATACACAAACATACGTACATACGCCTACACACAAACATAGTACATCGAACAATACATACAAAAATACGTACATAGGCCTGCAAACACACAAACATATGAACATAGGGCAACACACACACAAACATAAATACATAGGTCTGCAAACACACACATAGTACATAGGCCTACAAGACAAAGATCCCCCATATAGGGGAAAGTGCTGTTAGCGAGCACCTATGAAGGCCGGTAACGGTACACGAGGGGGTGGGTGGCCAGCACCACGCCCGACCGCCTTTGTCTCCCAAATGGCAATGTTTACACACTGCACCAGGTACTCATTTGAGGCTGAGTCGACCTAGGGGAGGCCCGGGACCGGTTAAGATGATCGTCACTGGTGTTGGCCGTGAGCGGGAATCGAACCCGGGTTGCCGGGTTCATAGCGCAGCGCGCTAACCGCTACACTATCGCTCCCCACAATAGGCCAACACACACAAACATACGTACATAGGCCAACACGCACACAGACATGCGTACAAAGGCTTGCAAACACACCCGAATATACGTACATAGGCCTGCACAAATGCACATACAAACATGCGTACATAGGCCTGAACACACATACACGTAACAAGCAGTCTTCATGTTTCAGTAGACGGGGCGCCACGGTGGCTAGGAGATGTTAACTACCTCGCTCGGTATGCAGGAGGTCGTGCGTTCGAACCCAACCCTGACGCCTGCTGTTTATTTGGAGTTTGCGTTTCTCTCCCCCCGCGGTCGCGTGGATTTTTCTCCGGGTCTTCCGCTTTTTCTCTCCACATTTAGAATCAACGTCACGCGTTTAGAGTGTTTGGCTGCTATGCATTTCCACGTGATAAGCCCCTTCGTTGAGCTATCATTTGTGGCCTGGTCGCTTTTGAAAAAGAGCTTTATAGCTCAGTGGGCCTTACCTGGTAAAATAAAAGAAATAGTTTTGTTTATAGTTCAATTTAGAGCAGTGGTTCTTCTTAACCTGAGGTGCACGCGTGCGCTGGGGGTACGAGATGGGGGTGCGAGACATGGGCAGATTTTTTTGTTAAGCACGGGCACGTAAATACAACTACTTTGTCTCACCAAACCGATGTGTTTATTAGCATTATATATACACACAAAAATAACGAATGAGAACCAAAGGGATTGGAGGCTGCACTAAAGGACCACTGGTTTAGACAATACGAACTAGGGCTGCCAACCGATGACCGGTCCGGAATGGCAGGAGACGATACTCGTTTCCAGGTAAACTGTCGTAACGAATTCACCGATTGGCAGGCTCGATCGTACAAACGGCACGGCGTGCGTCACCGCGTTTCTAAGTTGAAAGGCAACGGTGCGGCCCTGCCAATTGCTTCCTCACGCCACTGCTGGTGGAAGGTGCCTCCACTCGAGGGAGCTTCAGAGACGGCATTTGGCCTACTCTTCCATTCTGACCGGGCGCCTTGGAAGAGGTGGTATTTCAGCTGCCGCGCCGGGAGGTAGCATTGAATCGGCGACCTCCGGATTGCATGTACAGCGTTTTAACCATTACATTACTGTGGTAGCTCGCTTCATTTGCTGTGTTATTCATTCGGCCACCGATAATGCAAAAATATATACTTTTATAACCATAGTACATATACAGGGTGCTTCCATGTGTTTTTTTTTTAACAATAATATGGGACTATCGTTTTTAATGGAAAAAGAACGGATAATACACTGTAACATGATAACAAATGTGATGTTAAAAGCTTCAAAGAGTCCCCACGTGTTCGCCGTCGTTGTCAACACGTGGCCTGGAATCTTATCCAGGTGGTCTCCAGAGCCCGGAGGCAGCAGCACGTGTCACGTGGTGTTGTCGCAAATTATTTTAAGTGTTCACATCTTTTTGAAGCACACTGTATATCTAAGACGGTCTTTTTCTGAGATCACGTAAGAGGATCGATGATTGTCTCAAACTTAATCGTATTTTCTGAAGAACATCAGTCGGCCGGAACGTCGAAATTACCTATTTTTCCCTCAATGTGTATTTTCATGCGTCGTGCGAACATCACTCGAGCAGCAATAATGTAATACATACATACACGCTTGCATATATATACAGCATACACATATATGTGCCTTCCAGCTATGAACCGCAACATATCCTGAAGAAGGCCCGTGGGCCAAAACGTTGGCAATACATACACAACACGTATACAGTACCTACGCAATATTTCCATGACTTGCCAATCCACTGCTGTATATGAAGGCCTCCCCACATTGTGTCGGTCGTTGAGGTTGCTTGACCATACCTCAACCACGCTGTTCGGAGCCACTTCAAGATGGGGAGTTGTGGGCATCATTCCGGCGTCACGGTTCACATCTCACTCGCCACTGACGTTAGCCGTGGCCGGAACACCTCATTGAGTTAGTCGGGTTCCTAGTGGAGTGCCCTAACCACGGTGCCACCGCCCCACCGTGGAAACATTCACACGGAGGAATGCGTGGGCCCGATAAACACCCCTTAAACGTGGCATTGGTCAAACTCCTACTACTAAAATAAGCACATTTATTTTAGTAGGTAAGGCCCACTGAGCTATGCAGCTCTTTATCAGAAGCGACCTGGCCACAAATGATAACTCAACGAAGTGGCTTATCTCGTGCAAATTTCTTGCAGCCAAATAGTCTAAACGCACGTTTCTAGATGTGGAGGGAAAACCACGCGACCACGGGGAGAACATGCAAATTCCAAATATACTGCAGGTGTCAGGGTCGGGATTGAACCCACGACCTCCTGTATACCAAGTGAGGCATTTAACATCTCTCCACCGTGGCAGACGCTCCAATAGCGTCTGCCACGGTGGCGAGTTGACCCTCCAGATAAAGTACTGCGATTCAGTGGGGTTTTTTTTTTAAAAATAACAAATCAAATTGCAGCACTGATATTCTTCCTATGCTGCTATTAATCACTCGGTCGTGTCCACGATATTCACTCGGTAATTCACGTTTCACATAATACGTGGAGTGCAGCCAAACACCTCCCGGCCCGCTCCTCCTCCTCCTCCACCCCCTGGCCGCCCCGACACATCCCGTCCGTGCGGAGAACGCGTAATTGTCCTTCAGCAGCAACAGCAGCAGCCATGCTCAATCCACTGCTGGATGAAGTTCTCACTCGCTAAGTCGCCAAGATCATGCGACGTAGCAAATGTCGTTTTATCCCTGCACACGATGATGGCTGTAGCGCGGCCCACGAGCTCGACGCTAATGTGGAGGCTTGCTGCTGGCTGCTGGCTGCTGCTGGGTCACAACGAGATGGCTGCAAGAGTTCGTATCGTTTTGCTCCTCCTCCTCCTCCGCCGAAGGAGCGCAGGCTACAGTGGTGTTTGCTCTACGGTCCATGGTGTGGGGTTGCATGGCCACGATCGCAATGTCGTGGCGTGTCTTTAAATTTCTGTCTATGTGTTTCTCTCTGTCTATATGGGTCTCTGTATATCTCCATGTGTCTCTATGTATGTCCGTGTGTCTCTAAGGGTCTCTATGTGTCTCTGTGGGTTTGCTATGCGGTCCATAATGGGGGTTGCATGGCCACACCACTCGCACTGGACTAGGTTCACAGTAACGATCTTAGGTTTCACAGTCTGCAAAAATGCACACATGCAATGCAATACACTTCAGCTTTAAGCGCTGACGCGGCAATCTCTGCGTTGGAATTTGATGTTATATGATAATAATAATTTAGACTGAGTTCTGCAAATGTATTATTACGTTCCGTGCGGGCGCGCACATTTGATAATATAATGATCGCTGATGAGCACACCAACACAGAACACACGCACCGGCCTACACTACACACGGCCGCCGACACATAGGCAGCCATACACACACAGACGAAAACAATAACACACTCCAACACACACACACAATAAAAAAAAATACTCTATTACGCAGACGACAAAAAAAACCCCATCACACAAACCACACACGAACGTGCAGATACACAGATAGACAACATGTTAACAAAGCCAAGTGCTGTTAGCGAACGCTTATGAAGAAGGCGGGCACGGTACACGATGGGGTGGGTAACCATCACCACGCCCGGCCGCCTTTGTCTCCCTTGTGGTGATGTTTACACACCAGCACCAGATACTCATTTGAGGCCGAGTCAACCTAGGGGAGGCTCACAGGAACGGTTGAGATAATCGTCAACAGTGTTGGCCGTGAGCGGTAATCAAACTCGGGTGGCAAGGTTCGTTGCGCAGCGCGCTTACCCACTACACTACCGCTTTCCATTACCTATAAAGACACACACACACAAAGACAAAGACCCCCGGTATAGCCTCAACAGACTGTTGGGGCAAGCTTTGTCAGCAAGTGCGGATCGACATCTCATCTTATACATTTAGATATCGCCTTAATCCAAGGGGCTTTACAACAATTATATGTTTAAATGCACATAAGATGGTAGTGGTTTAAATAAGAAGTGGGGGTGTACTTATGGTTACAAACAAAGACAAAGATCCCCCTATAGCCTCAACAGACTGTTGGGGCAAGTTCTGTTAGCGAGCACCTCTGAAGGCGGGCATGGCACGCGACAGGGTGGGTGCCCATCACTACGCCCGACCGCCTTTGTTTCCCTAGTGGCGGTATTTTCACACCTCACCAGGTACTCATTTGAGGCTGGGTCGACCTAGGGGGAGGCCCAGGACCGGTTCAGATAATCGTCACCGGTGTTGGTGGCCGCGAGCAGAAATCGAACTCTGGTCGCTAGGTTCGTTGCGCAGCGCGCTAACCGCTACACCACCGCTCCACATACACACAGACACACAAAGACAACAACACGCACACACACATGGACACACACAAAGACAACAACACGCACATGGACACACACAAATACAACACACACACACACGGACACACACAAAGACAACACACACACACATGGACACACACAAAGACAACACGCACACACACGGACACACACAAAGACAACACACACACACACATGGACACACACAAAGACAACACGCACACACACGGACACACACAAAGACAACACGCACACACACACACATGGACACACACAAAAACAACACACACACACATGGACACACACAAAGACAACACGCACACACACATGGACACACACAAAGACAACACACACACATGGACACACACAAAGACAACACACACACACACACATGGACACACACAAAGACAACACACACACACACATGGACACACAAAGACAACACACACACATGGACACACACAAAGACAACACTCACACACACACACATGGACACACACAAAGACAACACACACACATGGACACACACAAAGACAACACTCACACACACACACATGGACACACACAAAGACAACACACACACACGGACACACACAAAGACAACACACACACACACATGGACACACACAAAGACAACACACACACACATGGACACACACAAAGACAACACGCACACACATGGACACACACAAAGACAACACACACACACATGGACACACACAAAGACAACACGCACACACATGGACACACACAAAGACAACACACACACATACACACTGACACACACAAAGACAACACACACACTGACACACACATGGACACACACACACACTGACACACACACACTGACACACAAAGAGAACACACACACTGACACACACAAAGACAACACACACACACACATGGACACACACACTGACACACACAAAGACAACACACACACACACATGGACACACACACTGACACACACAAAGACAACACACACACACACACTGACACACAAAGACAACACACACACAAAGACAACACACACATGGACACACACACACACACAAAGACAACACACACACATGGACACACACAAAGACAACACACACACACACATGGACACACACACACTGACACACACACAAAGACAACACACACATGGACAAACACACACACACTGACACACACACACAAAGACAACACATACACACTGACACACACAAAGACAACACACACAAAGACAACACACACACTGACACACACAAAGACAACACACACACATGGACACACACACTGACACACACACAAAGACAACACACACATGGACAAACACACACACACACAAAGACAACACACACAAAGACAACACACACACACTGACACACACAAAGACAACACACACACAAAGACAACACACACACACAAAGACAACACACACTGACACGCACATGGACACACACACACACTGACACACGCAGAAGCTGCGCGTCACATGACGCCCCCGTCGAGCGGAGCCGTCATGAAACATCAACGAGGACGCGACTCGCTCCGCATTAATTAATTAATTAGTTGCGAGCGGCTGTCTCATTTTATAACGAGAAGGCGCGGGCCCCCCTCCACTACACCCCCCGCCCCCCCCCCCCCAAACGTCTGAGACACCACCCGGCCCACCCATCATCTCATCGCGCTCCTCACCTCCCGCATCCTTGCTCCCCGATCTCCCGTCCGCTTCGACCATGATGAGTCCGGGTGACGCCGCCACCTCGACCGCCGCAGCCGCCGCCGCGTTGTCCGGTTGCTGGGCCTCCCGACTCGCTCCGTCGCCCGCCGACTCTTCCCGCTCCCCCTCCTCCTCCTCCTCCTCGGCCGCCGACTTCCCCGCGGGCGAAGGCGCCGCCGCCACCGCGGACGAGGGAGCAGCCGCAGCCGCCGCGTCCTCTTCCTCGTCGTGCTGCAAAAGCCCGAAGGAGTCCCTCGACGGTCTGTACGCTTGGCCCAGGTAGAAGTATCCCGGCACGGGCACTCCGGCGCTTTCCGCCGCAGCGGCCGCGGGCTCCGAGGCGAGCGAGCGCGCGAAGTCCGTCTCGCCCTTGCCGCCGCCGCCGCCGCCGCAGTAGGCGGCCTCCTCCTTGATGGCGTGCGAGAAGGAGCAGGGCCCTTGCGAGGCCTCCTGGAGCTGACCGCACGCGCGGCTCGACTCTACCCAGGAGCAGCCGTCGCTGGCTGCGCTCGCGTACGCGTGAGGGTGCAGCGAGCCCGTCTGCTGATGCTGCTGATGCTGCGGGTGATGCTGTTGTTGCTGCTGCTGCTGGTGGTGGTGCTGGTGGCCGTGGTGGTGGTGGTGGTGTTGCTGCTGCTGGTGATGATGATGAGGATGATGGTGGTGATGATGATGATGATGCAGACCGTGCGCGTGCTGTGGAACATCGTGACGCTTCGACAGCGCTTGCACGAGGCCACAATTTTGCGCGGATCCGTAACCAACCTGCAGGTGACCGGCGCCGTGGGCCATATAGAGTCCGCTTCCTAATCCTCCTGCTGCTGCTGCTGTTGCTACACCACCACCAGCGCCACCACCACCAGCAGCACCAGCACCGTAGTAAACCTCCCCGGCTCGACCCGCGCCGATGAGCGAGTCGACGAGGAACGAGTTGGCGATCCCCGCGCCGTTGGTGCACGACGCCATGGCGTGCGCCACGCCGCACAGCGCTCCGGCCAGATGATGAGGATGATGAGGAGAAGGAGGATGAGGAGAAGGAGGAGGCGCCTTCCACGCCGACATGGCTCACGAAGAAAACATTCGCACATGGAGAGGGGACAACTAAACCCCCACCCCCTCCCAGGCAGCTCGCGCCGCGTCACGTGGCGCGCCGGCCAATCGCGCCGGCACCGCGAGACGCGCCACGCGCACTCCGCGTACCCCTCCTCCTCCTGCTCCACCACCACCACCACCCCGCGTCCCCCTCCTGCTCCTCCTCCTACTCCTCCTGCTCCTCTTGATCCACCACCACCCCGCGTTACCCTGCTGCTCCTCCTCCTGCTCCACCACAACCACGCGCCGCGTCATCGGAAGGTGTCGCGCGCGCGCTCTCTCGCTCCTCGCTCGCTCGCTCGCCGAGCCAGATTTGGGGAGAATTTTCGCATTGTTTATTTTGAAGGCGCGAGAGAGAGAGAGAGATACCAGGCACGGCGACGCCCCCCCCCCACTCGACTGTTGCTGTGTGACAGCCGTGAGACGGCAGGGCGAGCGAGCGCGTCGTAAGGGCGCGCAGTGGCGAGAGCTCGACTCGACGGCTCGCGTCGTAGGGGATGGGTCGTGAGCGCGCTCCGTCACTCAACGCAGCCACTGTGGGGCGCGACACGCGGCCAACATCAGTGGCGAATGTCTAAAACCGGTTCTGCGTCTTAACCCCCCTTAGGGCCGACTCAGTCGTGAATGACTTCCGCGCGCGCTGCGTGAACGTCGGCGCGCAAGGAGAGACAAAGGTGGCCGGGAGCGTGGTCGTGAGCCCTCCAACCACCTCGGTCGACGTTCCGGTCTGCTCGCTCGAACGACGTTTGCACCCAAAATTCTGCTGAAGGCTTACGCGGGCGATCTGTGTTACGTGTATGTTGCGTATGTGTTTACGATGTCTTTGTGTGTTGGGTGGGCGTTTGCTTTGGGTGTTTGTGTTTATCGGTTGTGTGTAACGCGTGTGTGTTTTGGGTATGTGACCTGTTTAATGTGTTGTGTGTATGCGTGTATCTTTCGTATGTGAGTTGTGTGTGTGTACGTGTTGTTTGTGTGTGTGTGTTGGATGTGCGTGTATCTTCATTGCCTTTAAAGAGATGGTGATATGATCTCGTTTCGCAGATCTCAATGACAGTCTTTGATCTTTTCTAGAAACACTATTTGACGCGCACGACGGTAGCATCACATCATCAACAACAGCATCACATCATCAACAACAGCAGCATCACATCATCAACAACAGCAGCAACAACAACACACATGTACGCGTACGAGCAGTGAGCGCGCATAGGTCCCAATCAGCACGCGGCTGCGACTAAAGAAAATGACAAACCAGTGAAATACACACACACACGGATACACACACACACGAAATACATACACATGTACACCCGACAACCTACACTCGTATTGTTTTCATTTAATTCCACACCTTACACTCCATTCAATAATTGACACGCCCACCGCCGCCTTCCCCCACCCGATGCGTCAATTAAATTATTTAGAGATAATTATTTAGAGATCATTCCCAGCGTTCCCGTTGCCTCCATCAGCGAGAGAGACAGACGCCGAGTTGGCTTTTTCGGGTGGGGGCGGTGGGGGGGGGGGGGGTGCCCCACGAGGGACCGGGAGGAGAATTCGCCGACGTCGAATTCCCGAAGCGCCTCACCACCAGCCGCTCCGCGAACGCACGGCGAGGCGGCTGCCGTGGCCTTCTCTGAATGTTTGTGCTGTTGTTGGGTTGAGGCGGGAGAGGAGCGAAACAGATGGGGGGGGGGTGTGAGATGAGACGAGGGAAGGGGGAAGGAGGACGTTGACAAGGTGGGAAGAGAGGAAACGCTGTGAGATGTGCAGAGAGAGAGGAAGAGAGGGGAGAGGATACGAGAGGCGAGGGGACGAGAGGAGCTATAGGGGATGAAATGAGAGGATACCTGAGTAGAGAGGGGATGAGGTGATGAGAGCTAGGGGATGGAGTTTGAGGATACGAGAGGCGAGGGGGATGATACAAGAAGCGAGGGGGATGACATAAGAAGAGAGGCGATGGAATGACAGGGTACGAGAGGCGAGGGAATGAGATGAGAGATAAGGGATGGAATGAGAGGTAGGAAGGAGTGAGAGGTGGTCTCTAACTAGGGCGTCTCGATTCGACAGACGCAGCGTCGGCGTCCGTCACAGAGGCCAAGGATGAAGATGTCACGAATGTCAGAGGTCTACCATCGCAGTCGTTCACACGCGCCGATGGCGAATTCAAAAGCAACACTACAACACCCACACAATTCAGCATCCATTTGCACGGCGCGATATTTTATTCAGGACCATTTCCATTGTTGCCGCTTTTGCGATGATTAATTGTTTACGGTAAACTCAAAAGAAGGTTGTTTTCTGTTGTCGACCGATCGTGAAAGGGAGAAATTGTGTGGTCGAGAATTCGGCTGTCTGGTCTCCTTACTGTCGAGCAATGTCTTAGGGTGATCGTGTTATTTATACGACACTGCGTGTGTATTTAGTTAGGCTTAAAGCGCCAAAATTACCGATTCTAAATAAAGTAAAATAAACCTTTTAGTTTCAACTGCACATTACTGATATGTGTACAGGATAAGTATGCAGGCCTCTATGTACAACAAAGACAAATATCCCCCGTATAGTATTAACAGACTGTTGGGGCAAGTGCTGTTAGCGAGCACCTATGAAGGTTGAAACAGTGCACGAGTGGGTGGGTGGGCCACACCACGCCCGGCCGCCTTTATCTCCCTAGTGGCGATGTTTACTATACACAGCACCAGGCACTCATTTGAAGCAGAGTCGACCTAGGGGAGCCCAGGACCGGTTCAGATAATCGTCACTGGTGTTGGCCATGAGCGGGAATGAAAATATGGTCACCAGGTTCGTAGCGCAGCGCGCTAGCCGCTACACTGCCGCTCCCCAACACACACACGCACTTTGCAGACCAAATCATTATGCTCACAATATTTTATACTGAAAAAAAAACATCTGTTCATGTTGCACACGTGTTATACTTACCCACCGTGTCTGTATAGAATTTTGAACGAAATGGAAATCTATGTAATTATGTATTTATTAACAACGTTCGCAGTCGCATAATACACTGTACAGAGGTCTACGGACCGATAATGTGAAAACTAAATTATTTATTTACAGACCGCAGAAAAAACTATCAAATAATCTTCACTATGCGCAATCGGCCCAGACATCCAATATTAATAATGATCTCCACCGCATCACTGGGTATTAAATATTAAACACACGTGATCTCTTGCACCCTTGTAACGCGTGGTGATAGCCACTCAGGTCGACGAGCGTCTCATTCGTGTAAATCTGCCTCGGTAACTCAGAGAACCAACCCGATCCCTCGCCCAATTAAGACAAAACACAATCATTAGCGTCACAGCGAAGAATATAAGTAACGCTACATATATATACACAAGCGAACAACACAACGTCTGCCCCTTCACACAGCTTTCCCTCCACGTGTTAAAAAAAACCACACACGCACACAAACACGTTTTTTTTGTACACGTCCCATCAGCCACACGGACGGGCCTTCTGTGAGTGCAGCCACTTCGTGTGCGCCACACCGAGAAAAACAGCGGACCAATTACATCTCTCACGAGAAGTGATCCGTCATCCGCGCAGTGGCGAACCACGCGTGTTGGCCGACCGTCGCTTGCTCAGAGAGGGACAGCGGTGCCAATTTGCCAACGTTCAAAATCAGAAAACCACGGTGCTAAACTGCGACATCATATTTTAGTTGAAGTCGGTCACCTCTGTATGTCCAAAATCTCTCTCGCGCTCTCGCTCCTGTGCGAAGAAGCAACTTAACACATTACTCGCCAACGCCTCTGTGCCATTTTAAATAGAATATCTAATCATCTACGGTTCGGGCAATGATTCTTCCTAATAGCATGCGTGTGCTGCGACCAATTAATGTGCCATGTAGAAGGGCCGTTGCCAAAAACGTTGCCCTTTTATATAATACAATTTTAAAGCCACACAGTGCTGCTATTATTATTATTGGCGGACGTGTCGAGTTGTTGGGGTTAATCGTGCTTGTTGCACACCGCTGCCAATGCAGCAGCAGCATCACCAAGGAGCATCGTCCGAAACGTCAGTCAACTTTAAACAGTATAACCAGTATAATGCAGTGAATGTGGTGGAGTTGGATTTCTTTCTGTGTTCTCCTTTTTTTTATTCCCACCAGTAATTAATTGTAGCTGCGCTTAAGAAGCACGACACGTCACGAGCAATGGATACAAGATAAGAGAAAACTACATCGGTAAACACGAGGCCGCTGGGGACCGTAACATCGACGACGATGTTGTTGTTGTTGTTCTGAACCACAAAGACAAAGATCCCCCGGATAGCCTCGACGGACCTTTCTGGGGGGCAAGTTGCTGTTCGTAGGGTAGCAGCACCTGTGATGAAGGCCGGCATGCGCGAGCCCGGAGTGCGTGACCCAATACTCAGCGTCGGTGCGATCATATTAACGAGTTTATTTATATAAAGACTCTCTCACACACACACGTGTTAAATATTACTTTTTTTTTAAACGCGCAGTCATGCCTGATGTTTAAGAAGCTAAAAATTTGCATATATGACATCGCATTACTTGGTTTATCGTAACGCATACACGCTAAAAGACGGGTGACGTGTGCGTGTACTTGTAGCGTACGTGTTTCCACGTAGACATTCATACGTATATAATGTTTGTGTGTACTGTGTTGTGTAGTAAAGTGCTATGTGTTTTATATATATATGTGTGTGTGTATAGAGTGCAATATTCGCATTCCCGCTCAGTCTCCGTGGTTCACTCAATTTCCAATGAGTACCTGGTGCGATGTGTAAACATTGGGGAGACAAAGGCGGCCGAGCGTGGTGGTGCTGGCCACCCACCCCCTTCGCGTGCCGTGCCGGCCTTCGTAGGTGCTCGCTAACGGCACTTGCCCCAACAGACTGTTAAGGCTATACGGGGGATCTGTGTCTTTGTTGTACATTGATCATACGACATGCAATATTAGACCAACGCCACACACACACACACGCACTACGCGTAACCCTTAT